GGTGGGTAGGGATGGATGGAGATGTATGGAGGTAGGTATGGATGGATGGATGGAGGTGGGGATGGATGGATGGAGATGGATGGAGGTAGGGATGGATGGATGGAGATGGATGGAGGTAGGGATGGATGGATGGAGATGGATGGAGGTGGGGATGCATGGATGGAGATGGATGGAGGTGGGGATGCATGAGGATTTATGGATGGAGATGGATGAGGATGTATGAATGGAGATGGATGAGGATGGGGATACAGATGCATGGATGGGGATGGAAGACAGGGGACTCACCAGAGCTGAGCTGGGAATCAGGGTGTGCTCCTCCAGCTGCAAGTACACAACACATCAGGTCCCAGCCACCCCCTCCTTCTCTTCCTTGTGCAAGGGTGGGGAGGGGACATTCAAGCACATCCCAAAAGATGCCACTGAAACCCCAGGGCGATGCTACCTGCATCCCTTCAGAGCCGGGCAGTGCAACCCTCCTGTCCTCCCCACTCACCAGCACCCGTCGGAAGCCCCCACGCAAGCGGACGTAGAGCTCTTGCCGGTCGGTCAGGAAGACGAGGCTGCCCTCGGGCAGCTCATGTGCGGCACTCAGCATCGCTTGGTAGGTTGGCAGGGCACGCAGCTGCGGGCACAGCCCGGCGAGTAGCTCAGGGCTCCGCCGGCCAGCCCACAGGCAATCTCCCCCCAAGAGCCCCAACTCACCCCCAAGGATGTCCCACTGGTGCCTGGTGGTCCAGGGGGTCCCGGTGGTCCGGGAGGGCCAGGGATGCTGATAGCTGTGAGGAAGAAGGGTGAGATGGAGAGGGCTGCAGCGTGGGGCACAGGGAGGGATGTCAGGGACAGATGCAGTACAGGTACTCACCTGGTCTGTGGGGACCTGGGAAAGAGGGTGGTCCGGGGGGCCCAGGAGGGCCAGGGGGGCCCTGCCGTCCCTCATATCCGATACCAGGGGGGCCCTGAGGTCCGGGAGGCCCCGGTGGCCCAATGATACTGTCTCCCTTGGGACCCTAGGCAGTGCAAGAGGGCATCCCTGGAGCAAAGCATCTGGGGATGCTGCTGCCCACCCCCATACCTCCCCCTTGCACTGCGGGGTACTCACTGGCAGCCCGGGGTAGCCCTGAGGTCCTGGAGGCCCTGGCAGCCCGGTGACACTGGGACCGTAGAGGGGGGTGCTGCCTGGCTCACCCTTCTCGCCCTTGGGACCTGCATCCCCCTTGTGACCCTGTGGGATGGCACAGCCTTAGGGGGAGTGGCCAGGGCACATCCCGGTACCCCAAATTGTGCCGGGTGCCGACCCCAAGAGCCACAGCTGGTGGGCAAAGGGCTTACCCGCAGGCTGGTACCAAAGTGACTCAGGTCATAGGGGAAGTGACCTGGGGAGAGGGAGAGGAAGGGGGAGAGGAGAGCCACGGGGGCACAAGCCACCCTCTGCCCACACCTGCCCACGGGGACAGATTACCCACCTGGGGGTCCCGGGGCTCCGGCATCACCTTTCTCTCCCTTTTGTCCTGGAAACTGGTGGAAACCTGTGGGGAGCAGCAGCAGCAAGATGCCATCTCAACACTGCAGCATCTCAGCTCTGACAGCCCTGCCCCCAACCCTGCCTTGTCGGGGGTCCCCGAACCACCCCGAGGAGGCTGGGACACCACCTTACCGGGGAAGCCTGGCAGCCTGGGATGGCCAGAGTCACT